AAAAAAAAAAAAAAAAAAAAAAAAAAAAAAAAAAAAAAAAAATCAGAAATACCTTGGCATGAGGATTAAGGGTTGACTTTTCAGAGGATAGTGATCCTATTGATGAATTACGAGATAACACAGGACCACTGGAAGTACCAGCAGCACCATCAGAATTCAGTGATATGGAACTACCAGGTCGTCCAGTAGGGTTCAACGCTTGAACTTCTCCACGAGATTTTCCAGATTCTGGATCATCAGATAGTGCAGGAGGATTTAGCTTCTCATTATGCTTTGATGAAGCACAAGATGGAGCACGCAAGGCAACATCAGACAATATCCCTTCTTCAGGTCCATCTTTCTTAAATGGCTGCAAATCTATTGTTTCCATCACCAAATTGCGATTAGCAGCAAGTATTAACAAGTCGAAAAAAGTCGAACTTCTTGGTAAATTTAGGGAACAATCCGCATGTTGAATGCGATAATCAATGCAACGCATAGACCAGCAAGAGAAAATTACCCAGAATTTTTTCTAGAAAGATCAACTATGGCCAGCTACTAGCATGGGATACATGTCAATTTAACTCGTCAAATCAAAATAATAACAGCATTCTAATAAGGTATAAGCTAGGAATTATACAGAAAATGGCTCACCGTCACATTTTGCAAATTGAGAGTCATTAGCTGCCTGCTGCAATAATAGAAAAATGGAACCAGTAAATCCTAAAAAACTATACAACAAGCAGCAAAGCAGATTCTACAAATGCTATTTTAAAACCTTACCATGTCCTTTTCCACAGACTCCTCTGCATTATTCTCTCCATGCTGTTTGTCTTGGATCCTATATTTCAGATGTTCAAACCAGAAATTCAACCACAATCATGAATCATGGCGTCTAAAAGTATCATTCAATACTGAGACGGTAAATCCATTTTCCTCCTAAAAATACTATAGTATTGTAAAAGTAAAAACCTGCTTTCAATTTCCAAAGTAGGCCAATTTTTGCACGATGTTTCAGATGCCAGCTGTCTGGCATGATTAATGGGAGTAGATCTGGATAGATCTACACCAATATTTGTCTGAAAGGGTTGTGCTTGATTCTGCAAACCAGGACAAGTTAGCCTTCATTCATCTCTAGAGACAAGAAAAGATTATAAAACATCTACGAGAAAATCTATTTTCAAGTTAACTGTTTACAGCAGAATAAACCAAGCAGGATAAATAACCAAACAAACTATCCATAACACCAACTTGAGACAACTTATCAAATTTTGAGTTTTACTAATCATAGAAATACAGAACGTCATGTAAGGGCGAAGTTTTAAACCTAAATTGTCCAGATAATGGAATGAGTTATTGGCATTTGAAGTGTTTATGCTGTCATTATTATATATTTACTTTTTTTTAAAAAATAAAAACTAATAACTTGAGCTAGGTAAAATTATATATCAAGATATTCCAAGCCTTCATCCAGTTTTTTTTTTTTAAAAAAAAAAAAAATTGAAAAACTGGTCAGATAAGCCTAAATAGTAATAATAAGATGCTTAGGCTTGAAGATATGAGATGACATGATTTCCATAGGGAAGAGTATAAACGTTGTAATATGTTCAGAAGTCAAGGACACATTTATACAACCTATAGAACAGATCCTGTTCAAGTCAGGTCGTTAATTATTGTAATATTTTCCTTCATATATTTCAGAATAGACAATAAAATTGAGCGGTGGATCATTAAAAGTTAATCTTCATGCATTGAAACACAGATTTTTGGAATGATTATCCATTGGAGGTATGGATACATGTTCCAGAAAAATGTAAAACAGACTAGGTTAACAGATTAAAATAGCCACCACTATTTTCCAAAAGATATTTGATCAAGATACTGAAGAATTGAAATCACAAGAAGATTATAATAAAAGCTAATTGAAGAAATACCAATGATGAAGAGCTTGAGACAGAAGCTACATCACTGCATTTTCCAGAAAATGTGCCTGCAAACATAATGTCAGAGCCAGAAGACCCCCCAAAGGTTTCCATATTACGTGAATTGAATGATATTTCTTCATTTTCATCAGCCACCTTCCCACGAACAACAGAAGAGAATCTAGTTTCCTCATCAACATCAAACTTATCGTGGAGGTCAATGCCTCTTTCCTGTTTAAACACAATAGAAGGCAAAATATTGAGTTCCAGAAAAGTTTACTCAAATTCTATGCCCGAGAAATGCAATCAGATGTCAAAAACTACCTTACCTCTGCTAAATGAAGATCTTCA